AACACTCCCATGGTCAGGAGCTCGGGTGCCAAGAGCAGTAAACAACCTGCCAGAACCGCCTTGGCTGCGTCGATGCATGTGCAATTCCTACCTGCGCGCCGTGGCACCCCTCCCTTGCGTCTCACTGCTGGTGCTGAGAAACCGTGAGGAGGGCGATGCCCGTCAAAACCTCGGCGACCCAAGGCATGATGCAACAAACCGACAAAGCTTCACAGGTACACCCGGACGAGCTCTGAATTTGGCCTTGACGAACTCTTTGGACCTTCGGACCCACCCGCGCAAAGTCGCGCTTCCGACCGTGTGAACATGTACAGCAGAGGATGCATACGCCTTTTTTGTGTCACGGTGCAGAACAAGTGTCCAGCTACATTCATGTGCCACACCTACTTGATTTTTAGGGAGCTGACCCTTACGTGCGAGTGCGCGCCAGGCTCACCGCTCCAGCCGTAAGCTACACGAGCAAGGCACAATGCAAACAGAACTCGCCAAAAGCTGGTGAAAGGCGTCACCATGCTACCCGTAGCAGATACGAAGAGCAAGTGAGAGAAATGAAAACAGAAGAATTCAGAATCGAAAGAGTCAAGTGCAGGAATGGCTAGAACATACCTCAGCAAGCATTTGCGCAGCAAGCCGAAGACTGGGCGGAAGGAAGGCAACTGATAACATCAGGAGGAGTCACCACGAGACCCTCAAGCTGATCCCGGTCCTCTACCCTGTCCCAACTGTATCTGCCATCTCATGCCCGCTCGGTGCTCCACATCAGAGGCGGCTCTCATGGAAACCCGGTTCTGGTCCGGCACTCTGATCGTAGAAATCCCCGACACTTTCTCTGGCTCTCTGTCCTTCTGGCGAGATGCTGGAATAGCTTGCTTCTTGATCGCCTCCTTCCGGACTGCAGCTTTGTCATCGTCCTGCCCCAGCAGCTCCTGCCAGTTTTGGTGGCACAGCGCGAATCACCTTCACGTGCATGCTGATAGGTGATGGCATGCATCCCATATTGAGTTGCAGGTAGCTTGAGCGTAAGCCATATCATGGAGTCCTCGGAAAGCATGCCGCTGGCCGTCATCGCCCAGGAGGCAATTTCTGCAAAGGCTTCCGCATCCACTGTTATCACGGTGCCCCCAGACTTTCTAGGCTGCGCTCTATGAGTCTGGTCTTGTTTTGCGGTCTGCAAGTCGTACCGACATGGCAGTGCTCAGCTGTTCTCAGAAAACTGTGCGAAGTGTGACCTGGACAAAACAGCAAAGCTCAACAACACACTGCGGCAACAACCAAGCCTCACTGTCGAATTGTGAGATTCGAGGCAGACATTTTCAGCCAAGCTGTATCGCGGTCAGTGTGTGCGCAATGGCTACAGTAGCATGCACCTGAGTGGGGGTGGCAAACCCTAGAGGCGGACAAATTGGGAGTGGTACCAGGCTTGTTACAAGCAGCGACCGGTCTTGGCCGGTTGCTCACTTGTGGCCGTGGATATGCCCAGCAGACTTTGTGCCAAGGACAAACTTCTCTCAACACCCTTCCGAAGAAGAGTCAGGCAGCTGCCCACTCCGAGGTGTGTGCGGGAAGCATGCTGCCGGCCGCTATGCTGGAAGCGGCCAGCTTGAGTGAACCACTATGAAATTCTCCAACAACGGCAGGCGAGCATGCGAGCTGCCTCGTTTGCAAGCATATGAAGCTCTTGCTAGCGACTTGTTGCTGATTTCAATTTGCATGACCCTTTAGCCTGCGGTTCGGTTGGTCCGCTGCGGACCGGAAGTGAATGAAAGTTGAATTCCCTGCCCCTCGCCGTGCTCAGGACCAAGCAAGCAAGCCCCTATGCTACGTCAGTTTCCGATGTAATGCTGCTGATGACGGGCTGTCGAGACTGGATGCTTAACCTTCTTGACTGAAGTTTGCACTCATTCGGGTTCACTGCGAATCCATCCCGAGCTACGGTGGATGCATGTTTGACGAACTGTCCATGCTACCATTGAGAGAAACTCATGCAGCCAAATGATCCTGACCATCCTTCATTTTGCTCCTACGGCTTCCAACTCACATCCTAAGTTCTAGTAACTAGTATTTCTTGCCTGCTGATCACTTGAAAGTCCCTGAGGCTGAGCTCACAACTTTAAAACGCTCCAGTCGAATTACACTGGCGCTGTTTGCTCCAACGCACACCTCCCAGACCAACGTGCAGCCTGTGTCTGCTGGCCAGGTTGCTTGGCTGCATCCGCGTGTCAAACCACAGCGCCACAAGCCTCCAGCAGAAAGCTTTAGCCCCAATCTACAGGTCATGAAAGGAGGCCATGCACAGACACTCTATGATGCAGGAGTGCCTCCTCATTCGGGAATAGATACTTGAAGCCAACGTATGCCGCCATAGCGATTGACCTGAGCTTTCCGGAGAGAAAACTTGTTTGCGCACACATTCCTCTTATTCTGATTGGGAGGGAGGGTTCGTACATTTAACGCAACACCAAACCGGAGGACCCAGAATCACTAGACTCTTGAACGGCGGGTTCCTGTCAGGGCAGGGCCTCACTCCAAACGCCTCCAGAGATGCTCTGAGAGCCGAGTGCGCCCTTCACAGCCTTTCATGCTCAGCTACGGAGTTTACAAAGGGGCCCTAGCTAGGCTAATTGGGCCCTCTCTGAAATTTGCGTCAAGGATTCAAGGACTCTGAAGAGCGCCCGCACCGGGACACGCTATCAGGCAGGATGATCAGGGACTACATCATGCTGCCTTGCTAGGGCATCTCCCCAGACGGTGGAACACGTGATAAACACTATGAACCTGAACAAGACGATGTTGTTGAAAAGGAAGACGGCGATGGCGATGGTATGGCAACGATGGAATGAGGATGATGCCAATGACGGAACGACGACGATTTGTCATGGTGATGGCGAACCCGATTATCACTGTGATTGTGGGCTGTGCTGACTGCGATTGTCATGCTGCTTCTCCTTTTATGGTTGCCAATCTGTTTGGGGGGCAGACCATCACGGAGGCTGTCGGAGCTCTTTCTGCAGAGCGTCAGAAAGAAGACAACAATCACGATTCCCACGGTTTCAAAGTCATTGTTGAGCTCCACGATAAAATCCCAAAACGGACCATGAAGATCTGCGACATGCAGCAGGGAAATCACGTGGATCACTTACGGCTTGCTTACAACCTTGCACGAGTCTCCTGATAACTGGACAACTGGACACCACACTCCCTGCCTTCACGAGTTGCAATGACACCCAGCAGCTCCAAAACACCGACGAGGAGAGCGATCCTGTGTTGGAAATAACCGATGTCAATACATCGTGCAGTCACGCCACACACAATGTAGCTGATTTCAAGTTTCGCAGCCGACGTTGCTGTCACGACCATGTTGTAGTACCTAGGTCAAGTGCAACCAGCAACAACAAATGCTAACCGTCTTGGGCTCCACGATTGCCAACCTTCCAAGACATACCCCGCCTGACACTGCTTTAAACGGACGGAGAGGAAGACCAAATTTGTAGAATGAGTATGCTTATGCAGCCGAATTGCAGCCTCTGCTTGTTGCCATCTTTTCCCGATCCATAAACCCACGCCATGAGGATCCCATTGGCAGTGTCTATGAGGCACATCCCGACCAAGAACATGAATGGGAGAAGCATCACCCACGCCTCCGTGCAGCCAGTTCAACATGAAGCGGTTGAAGTGAGTCACAGCACGAGAAGACAAAGTACTTGTGGCCAGTAGCCGGATGCTCAAGACTGTGTGAAAGTCCAACCTGGGCACTGACGGGTGCAGGAAGGCCAGCAAAAGACTTCCGTCTCGACACCGGCAATGCGCAGAAACGTGATTGAACCATGACTTGAATGTGTACTGCCATGACAACCAACATGCCCTGGCAGTCCAAGGTCAAAGCCATGGCAAGCACGGCCACTTCGCTTGAGGTCTCGAAGCCCAAGCCAAAGGCAAACCCGACTGGAAACCTTGTAGCCAGATACACAAGAGGCACCATCAGCCAATTGACTTGCAAACAAGCCTGATGCAAATGGATGTAATCGTCGCCAGGCTGCATGTGCCAGGGAGCTGCAATGCCACTAAACAAGCCAGGACAGCAAGTGGTGTAGAACCCTGCAGTGGAATGATGATGGTTGGCATATCCTCAGTGCGGCGGAAAAGAAGGACGGGGTGTGGGACTGTCTACGGGGAATCTGAGCAAAGCCTGTATGCATGGGGCAGGTATTCGAGGCCATAAAGCCAAGAAGCTTCGATCATCCTAGACAGGGCCCAGCAGTCGCACACCGTGGTCGTGGATGCAAGCGACAGCCATCAACATTCCCTGAACTAGCAGTCCTTCCAAGACCGTCCCATCCACAGAAGCAGAACGAAGTTGATGACCTGCTCCCAGTGCATGACACAGACGACCGAACCCACCATGAAATGTTCACAACTTCGGACATCGCAGATGCGACAGCTGGTTGCATGATGCTCTGTTCGTAGCTGACAATGCACCAGTGTAATTGTATCTGTGCTCTGTCAATTGCATTCGAGATATTGGGCTCTTCACCGGGGCCAGGGATCTCTGGGACGACATACCCAACCGGAAGTTAAGGTGACAGCATGAGACAACATGGCAACAAGCGTACAAAACGCACATGGTGGCTAGAAGCAATTCTGATGCTGATACTTCATCCTTCTGAATCTATTGCCTGTCACAGCTTGGCGACAAATGCATCGAATGTTATGTTCCAGACCCATCACCATTCAAAGGTCTGCTAATGCAAGCGCTCTGTTCCTCTGAGGGCCCGGCAGCTATCACCACTAGAAAACCTCAGGTGCTGTGAGCTGCCAGGCTGCGTGCATGTGTTACATGACGACAGATTGCATCAGGTAGCCGCCGGAAAAGACTGCTGAAACCATGCCACCGTTCGACTCCAATTTCCTACCAGATTGCAAACACTCAGTCGACAAAGTCTTGTCTGCTTATGAGGGGCTGCGCATCCCAGTAAGATGTATGGGATTAGTTAAGAGTGTCTCGAAGGCGTCCTCACGGCTTCATGCACCTGTGG